GATGTCAACGACTGCATCAGCAGGACACCAGCAGCAGATCTTGCTGTCGCACTCTTCCCTTGTTCAAATGCGGAGACCTGCCGCCGCTTCATCAACACAGCCGCTTGCTTGCTCGAAATCTTGCGCACACAGCCGCGTGCCCCAGCTCCCCAGTTCCCCGCACACTCGCACACAATCATCAACATCATGCTAAGTGGAAGTTTTGACTGGGTGACGACATGACCCAGCCCCGTCACCCAGCCCCAGTTCCCACTCCGTCTGGAAACAATTACCAGCACCTGCGCACTCAATCAATTGAGCGACACCGCCGCGCCGCCTCACCTTGATGTAATACTTGTATGCGTGGCCGCCGCTGGTGGCCGGCTCCATGCGCACCGCGCCGTCCAGCGGGTTGACCTGCCCCGGGAAGCTCGGGCCGAACTGCACCTTGTGGATTGTGTGGCTCATGTTGCGCAGCCGCGGCAGCACGTGGCCCGTCAGCAGCTGCGGCAGCATGTCCGCGAAGCTCTGCTGGTGCACCGCAAAGTGCAGCCGCCCCGCGACGCGCCGCACGGTCACGTCGCCGCGCAGCCGGCAGCCCTCGTGCGCGCCCATCTCCTGCTCCATCTCGCCCATGTGCTGCACCGCGGCGCCCAGATCGACGTTCACGACGCTGGAGCCGCCCTCTGTCGTCATCCTCTGGCTTTGGGGCGTCTGGTATTCGGAGGTCCGCGCCAGAGGCGCGCCGGCGGCGCTCAGGCGGACCTTGTGGAGGTGCGCGCCGCGCGCGTTGTTGACGTCGCTGTCGGCGGTGCCGCTGGCGTCGATAATGTCGACGCTGAGTGCTGGGGGCGGTGGCGAGGGGGCGGTGGCGGGATTTCGCGCTGTCAAGGGATTGGGGATTTCAGGAACGCTTATAATCCGCATCACTGCCGGACTGCGTTGCTCATTGATGCTTTTGTATTGGAGCAGCAGCAGCAGCAGCAGCAGCAGCCGCCGCAGCCGCAGCCACAGCAGAGTAGCCGCGCCTTCCCCCAGCACAGCCATGGCTGATGCTGAACAGGCCGCCATTGCTCAAAGCCCCAGAAGGCTGTGTCTATGTTTCACAGTTGAGGTCCAACGGCTTTCTGGAGGCAAGCCTCAAATCGGCCACGCACCAGCGCACGGCACTGTGTGGAATGTGATGTCGAGGTTGATGTTCAAATCGTGGTGGCGCCGCAGGTCCACCTCCATCTGCATGCGGGGGATGGTGCAGGTCCGGGGAAGCTTGTCGCCTGGACGCAGCAACCAACAATGAATCGAATGTGCAGGCAGGTACGCCCTGCTGCTCCCGAGGTGGTGGGTGCTTCTGCGCGCGCGCTCGCGCGTGCGAGCTTGGCACCACGCCAGCGCAGGGTGATGCGTACCTTGCTGCTGGCCTTTGCGCTGAGGAACCAGGATAGCTCATGCACAAATAATGTGGACGCCAGCAGGCAGCCCACCAAGGTCACTGTGAGGGGGTTCAAGGTTTTCCAGGTAATGCAGACAGCACACATGCAGAAGGTTAGGCTCCAGGCACAGGCGTCAACCGCTGTGCTGACCATCGCGGCACCCATCGCCATTAGAGGTGAAAGCCACCCACCGATAGCGCCATGGAGGGTCTGCCGCGTGAGATGCTCCTCTGGACGAGCAAACGCGCTGATCGCACTGATTTTAGAGAGGCGCATGGCGATTCTTACCCAGCCGCAGCGGCCCTGCACACTGCTGCTGCGCGCCTCAGCTGCTGGTGCGCTTTGACGCGCCGCTGCGCCCCTTGTTGGGCGTAGATTCTATCGTCTAGTTTCTAGTGCGATGTACAGCTGTTTATATGCGGGCTGCGGCGATCGAACGGCCTGCAGCAGCTGCAGCCTCAGTTTGCAAGCACGTTCTTCTCCTCAAAGCATTTTTTGCATGACCAATTGTGTATGTATGATCGATGTGCGTACAGACGGCGTGAAAACTTGAGCCATCCTTCTTTGTCTTTGACCGGGAGTGTCCCGTGCGGGTGGTTCACTCATGCACCCACCTCCAGGTCTTTCAAAAGCCACTGTGCAACTCATTGAGTTCTCAAAGTTGTGGCAGAAGCCTTCGGATTGCAGAGGGCCATAACTCGCACGGATGTCCGGATGTCGGCGGCTGGGCCACGGGCGACCTGCGTGTGCAGGGTTGGCACAAGCCTTGAGGTGGAGCATCTCTGCGGCATCAGCAGAACATTGAAATGTAATTGCTGCGCCATAGGCCTATCCACCTGCCCAAGCACCCACCCGGCCAAACTCAACATACTGTAGGCAGACGAGCGCAAGCGAGTAGCAGTGTGTTTACAGTTGCATACAGTCCTCTACACGCATCACGGCGTGGAAAAATCTACTTGGTGAATTAGTCGACTTCGTGAACCAATCACCTGAATTGGCTGTACAATTGAAGCTCGATACAAGTCAAAGCTTGTTGCTGAACAAGGGCAAACACGGCCACAAAGGGCGAGCCAGCAGCCAGCCCCCGGGCCGCAGGCTGCGGGGGCCACTCCTGCTTCGAGCCTCGGTACGCGCGCAGGCCGCTGGCGCGTGGGTGCGCATCACATGGGCTTCTTCAGCTCAACATGCGGCAGCAGCCGCTCTGCAAAGGAGCCCATCAGTCGCGCCACCTCTACCTGCCGCTCGGCCGCCGCGTCGGCCGTGGCCTCCAGCATCCAGTGCTTGCCGGTCAGGTTGGTGACCTGGCGGCCACGCGCCAGGGCCGCCACGCTGTACACCACAACCTGCCGCGGGATGGGTTACGGACAAAAGGGCGCGCATGGCGATTGCGTGAGATGCCGCAGCCGCGACGTCAGTCGCCGTTGGCGAGGCCTTGCCACGCAGGCTGGAGGCCCGCCGCGTCGCCCCTTCCCCTCTGTGCACGCCTTGCCTCTCCTCGCTGCAGCTGCCCGTGTACGCTGCCAGCGACCCTGTAGTCACCCCAGGCCAGTTCTGCCCCTGACCTCGGGCCCCGGCCCCCCAACCCGCTCAACCTGTATCTCCAGGCCCTGGTGGTGGCAGATGTAGTAGTTGCCGTTCTTCTGCACCGCGTACTCCACGCGCGCCCCCATCGCCTCCACAAACGCGAGGCCGTCGTACGTGTACAGATTGCTCTCCGCGACCTCGCGCACCGTGGCGGGCAGTGTGGCGTAGACGGGGCCGCGCATGGGCGTGCTCTCGTGCACTAACGTCCACCTGGGGCGTCCGCCAGCGGGGCGCGCAGGGTGGCGTGGGGCAGCCATGACGGGTTGCAGGCGCGGGCGCGCTAGCGTCACCTGCAGCAATGCACGCAATACAATTTGCGGGCAGGAGCCACAAAATTTGCTAGGGAGGTTTGCGAAGTAATCTGCCACAGTGTTTGCACCCGCAGCCACTCGCAGGCGCTGCATGATGAACCGCTGTTAGCGTGAGCTGAGGGCCGCCCGCGACCAGCGGCGCGGCGCGCGCATCGCGGCTTACATGGCGGGCGGCGGCGGCGCGAACGGGTTGCTGCTGTTGACCTTGGGCGGCTTGTGCCTGAACAGCCGCAGCGTGACCGAGCTGGTGCCGCTCTGCAGCGGCGCGGTGAAGCCGTACTCGACGCGCTCAAATGTCTCGTAGCGCGAGCACATGCCGCGAAGCACGTTGAGCACAGGGTTGGCACTGCCGGCGGTGGGATCCGTCTTGACCAGCCCCACGCATTGCACCTTGAATGAGCCTGCCGGTGCAGAGGGCTTGCCGCCGCTTGGGGCGGCGGCAGGCGCCTGCATGAGCGTGGGACGCTTGGAGTGCGGCAGCGACGCCTGTAGCCACTGCTACTGTCACCCTAGGGAATGAATTGTGCTGTACCGTCCTTTCAGCATCCGTGCTTCTATCCTCCTTATTGTGTGGACCGACTGGGCCCCCACCAGATCGCCAGATCAGGGCTACTGTGGCACAGCTATCATATGTATGACAGTTGAGCCGTGTGTCTGATCATTGTCATATAAGACGCGGTACCGTATACTCCTCGCTCCTGTCTGCGCACATCCATGGCGAGCGTTGTGTCCGTTGGTTGGCACCAGGTGACCACCCCCCGTGTCACATGAAAGTGTTAGGCATCAGATGCAGTGAAGTGCTGCAGGTATAGTATCTCACTGCCGGATATCGATCAAACAGATAGGGGGCCGTGCGAGGCCCGCTGACGATCTTGTTCAGGCAGCGTCAGCAAAATGGAGCCGAGCCCAGGGCAACTTGTAGGCAGCAAGGGAACTTTAAGCCCGCAGCCTTCTGATGTTGGGTCCCTGGACCCGTTTGAGTGCCAGGAGGAGGAGAACGAGGAGGCTCTTGGTCAGGAGGACGGCTCTGCAGACCTGGGGGATGGCAGGACGCTCAATTTTGTGGGAGCAACAATCAGGGATGCGTCCTACCCTGGCGACGGGGGTGAGCCGGCGCGGGCGGGTGGGTCTCCACCGCCGCATCCACGCGCGCTTTGCCGGCAACATCGGTGGGCCAACGGTCGCGCACCTGAGTCGTCTCGATGCATGACGCAAGTCGCCAAACGGCCCTGCAACATACCAGCGGTCGCGCGGCACATACAACGGCGCCTCGTCAACGCTGACGCACGCGGCCCAAGGGCTGCTGCAGCCGC